TCTTAGTACTAGGAGTCCTAGTGGAGTTTAGATAATGCAAACATAAACATTGAGAAATCAGAAACGATTGTTCATTCTAATTTAGGACCAGATTCTGCTCTGCAAAAACTTTTCACTCTGCAAACATTTAAAATTCCTGGCATTTTGATATTCATTTTATAAAGCCTAAATATGTGCTTTGATTACTGAGATTTAGCCTAAAACTGGAAACCCTAATAATAATAATAAAAAATTAATATAGCATTGCTTCTATGTGCTGCAAGTCCAAAGAATACCCTGTGTTAGTCAGCAAAAAATAGAAATGACAAACTGTAACCGTACTCCAGATTCCCCATGAAATTTGAGTCTCTGAAGACAATAGGCTACATTCAGCCTTGGGCTACATTGGCTTCTACAAAACATAAATGAAGGCTGGGATTTTGGTGACACTAACAACCACCCTGAGCATCACTCTTCTTCCTTAAGATTTGTTAAAGCCCTTCTTATTCTCCTTGAACTTTTTGTTAGAAGTAAGAAATTCTGTTTTCTAGTGCTCTTCTATTTCCCTCCTAACTTAAGCATGTATTTTTGTTTTTTCCCCATTTCTCTTTCCTGTGCAGTTGATTTTATAACCTTGTTGTAGTTGTCATTCATGAAGCTGCTGCTGCTTGTTCCTTTTTCTGAAGAACTGCAGTCCGTTGTACTTTTATTATGGCACCCTTGTGATTCTCCAGCCTTCTCCAATGCTGACAGTTTTAGTACTTCTTTGCTGCCACACCTTTATTCACAATTTTTTAAAATTTCCCCAGATTTGATTTCGTGATGTTTAATATCCTTTTACTGCTGTGGTCTGAAACCCATTCCTTACAATGCTAAATTCAAGCTCCTAGCTCAGATCTTCCCTATTATTTCCAATGGTTTCTTTCAGTTCCACCTTGTTGGTAGGAAACAGACCCCAAGATGGATTGTCGTCTGCTTGGATTTTTTATTTTCTGGCTCGTCTTACATATGTAACTCAGGAGTTTCCATTTGCTTTTTTGGCTGTGTTTGTTACCTCATAGATTTCTGGATAGTTAAAATCCCTGAGTATAGTATCCTGGGGATTCACATACTTCCAAAAGTAGGTCTAGGAATGTTTTGGTTTTGTTCTCTTCATACCTACTGTATCCCACCTGCACCCCTTTTTTTTTTCATTCCTTATATCCTACTCCATCGAATTTTACTCCATACATTCTTCATTGTTGAATTGCAGCTCATTGGCATAAAAATGTTTGATACATTTCATTATACAATTGATACAATATTCCATCTTGCCTTTTCTACCACTTGTGTCCATTAATACTGGCATTACACTATTCCCTCCAGGTTTAATTTATGCCAATTAGGTCATAATTATCATCACTTTGTAGCACTTCTCATTCTTCTTGTTTGTTCCTTATATTCCTTACATTTGTATATAGACACTACAATATAGACAGGTGCATGGAAAATGTAAACCCTTGAAACATAAAGGGATACTGTTCATGTTTTAGACCCACAATCTAAGTTGTTATAGTATTTTTAATTATATCAGTCTGACACCTAACATTCAAAAATGTAATCGCTAATGTGTAATGTAAACACTGCAAAAACTCAAAAGTTTTGTTTTCATTTCCTTACTGGCTCTGAAGCAGAAGTTAACTAATAAATGCTATTCCCAGAATGATGCTGACATCAATTGATGTGGCTGGAACACATGCTGTGTTGGCTTGACATAAGCAGAACCTGTGAAACAAACGAGGGAAAATCAATATTTTGCAAAATGAAAAGGAATCAGTGTAGTAGGGAAAAATATTTCCAGACTTGGGGTCAAATCCTGAGGTCCCTATCAAGGCCCAGTCCTGGGAGCTGCTGAATACCATTACCACATAGTGTGGACAATGGAAATTGACAATGCTCGGGATATATCAGGAGGAGCTCAGTATGACAGATATGGCGATTTCTTGCAGTATCAAGAAATGGGACTACTTGCAGCCCATAAAGTTAAGCACATGTGTAAGTCTTTGCAGGACCTGGGCCTAACCATAGTTTGGGGACAAGACTATAATCAGTTTGACCTGTTCACAGTTCCTTAATCTGTCACAGATTTAACCATGCAGTCACAGGAAGAATGTGTCTTATGTGGGATGGAGAAGTATTACTGACTGAGACTCCCTTATGGTTGGTGTTCTACAATGATCATTATTTTTGTATTTTGAAGTATAACAAAAAGAATAAAAGAGCTCTTTCACGTAAAAACCCACCGGCTTCTCCAAAATTTGAGAATTACCAGAGAGATCAATAAAATCAATGCTCCAACACTATCCTGCTGCTCCCACAAATACCAGTCCTTTTATTATTATTTGTGGTCATGTAGTGCTGGCCCTAAAAGCCCCAGCTGAGAGCAGGGCCCCATTATGTAAGGTACCATATAAACAGAGAGAGAGTCATTCAGTGAGCTCACAGACTAAACAAGCAAGACTGACCAAGGGTAGCAGGGGAAACAGGCACAGAAAAGTGAAGTGATGTGTCCAAGGTCACACAACATGACAGCAGGGGAAGCTGGGAATAGAACCCTGATCTCCTATTCACATGGCCTCTCCACTAGCTTGCTCTTGTAACATTCCTCATGCCTCCCAAAACTCTGGCAATGAGATGGATCTTGCTGCAAGCCATGGCGGTCAACAGATTTGTGCTATTTTGGGCCAAGGAATAGAGAAATGCATTCCAAACCGGAAGACCCATCGTGAAGAACATCCTGCTGCAAGTTCCCTCTGTATTATACTGAGAGGGCTCCTGCTCAAACGCCTCCTCTGTACACCAATGCTATAGTATAGCATGGGCAGAGAGGCAGTCTCTAACTTTCTGAAGTATTGAACTTAGCCATATTTTGATGTGGGTTTACAGGAGACCTATGACCTACAAATTCAGTCCGGTGTCTATAGAGGATAGTGAACCATCCTTAAGGAATCATCTGCTTGATTTTCTTAATATTTTCTTTGACACTTTTACATGAGCAGATATGTGTGTCTATACATCTGCATCTTGGTTAAACAGTTGGACATCTTCTACCTGACATTACCTTTACTTAGCCAGGGCTGGGATTCCAAATCAGACTGTGGTAAGGCATAAATTGCCCTACAGCCTTCTTTTAAGAAAATTTGGCCTTGAAGTAAGGAAGCATTTGGTGAGGGACTGTTTTCCTTTTAAAACTGCAATAAGTCATCATTTCTGCTGTGGGTCCCATTGGAGCTTTTCACTGGAAGAACTACACAGCTTAGAAAGAATGGTCCAGACTAGAAATGACTGATATTTCAGGCTAAAACAATATAAGAATTGAGAAGTTCAAAGAAGAGCTGTGGCACCTGAGACATGTGAACCTGTGGGATAAAGAAATAATTCTCTTCTACTCAGCTGGAAAATGTACAGGAACAAAACATATAACCGTATTTTGTAAATAATACCATCTGAAAGGGCTCCCAGTGGTACTCCAAGTAGCTGTAAAGTACGTTACAGCCCACCTCATGAAAACAGTGCAATTTATTTAATATTTACTTGGAGGTTTATAATATATAAAGAAAATGGGTGCATTGTTTGTGTCACCAAGGCATCTCAGGCACCCTTCATATCCTGCCTTTTTTCATGTCTTATTCTCACCCTGCATTGTAACACGTCATCACTTTCAGTGGCTGTCTCTTAGGGTGGTGCCTGGCCCCCAGGCCTGGGCCAAGCTCACAGAAGTTGCACTACAAACACTGAGTGAAATCCAGGCTGAGGACTTTGGAAAACTATATCTGCTTGCGGCCCAGCTGGGTCTGTAAGGAGTTCAGGGAATTGGGTGCCCTGGTAGTGCCAAGCTCTGCAAGTGGCCCAGCTTCCAGCCAGAGGCTTTGGGGAGCAGGGTGATCATTGGGACTGCAGCCCCTGCTGCTGGCAGGGAGGGGCCCTTGGGAAGTGTGGGGGCTCCTAGGCCGGCAGCCCCTTGGGAAGTGTGGGCCCCCCTGAGCCTGCAGCCCCCTGGCGAAATGTGGGCGAGGCGCCAGTCCCTGCTGGGCCCCTGTGTGCTCCCCCGTGACAACAAGGCCAGCGCAGCAGGATGCCGCTCGCCAGCCCCAGCCCCGCCAGCGGCCCGTTGCCAGCCCTAGCAACCGTTGCTGAGGGAGGGCGGCGCTCGACTATCCGAGGCTTCCCCCGCTCCGCGGCCTACAATCCCCATGGTGCCCCGCGGGGGCTGCCGTACGTGACGCACGGGGGGGCGGGGCTCGTCTCTCCCCTGCCGTGTCCCCTTCCCTCGGCTCGCTGGGCGCCATGTTGGCTTGAGAGGAAGATGACAGGCGGCGGCTGCGGGCGCGGGGCAGAGAGCGGATCGCAGTGAGACGAGACGAGACAGGGCAGCCAGCCCGGCACTGGGGTCCCCGCCGGGCCGCTGAGGGAGCCGTTGGAGGGGGGCCTGGGGAGGCGGCGGCGGCGATGAGAGCAGAGACCTGAGGCTGCTGCGGGCTGGAGGCGGCTGCCGTTTAAATCCCCCTTGAGGCGCTGCCGCTCCCGGAGCGGTGTGGGGGAGGGCACCCCGGGCAGGGGAGAGACGCTGCTCTTCTCCCTCGCCCGCAGACACCGCGCAGGGTGGTCAACCCCCGCCCCCGGCACCCTCCCCGCCTCCTGGGAGGACACAAACTTCAGCCGCTCGCTCCGGCCCCCGGAAGGTCGCCCAGCCTGTCTGGGTCGCCCGCTTTAATGAGGAGGTGACTTGGGCGCAGAGCTATCCCGTGAATCATCCCGTCATTATCGGTCTGGGCTGGAAAAGGAAGAAAAACCCCCGCACGCAATTCATGTCACTGTAGAGCCCTGCCTGGTCCACCTGGCACCGCTGCTGCTGACAAGGATCTGCTGCCATCTCCGGGCTGCTGCTGTGCCCGCTGGAGACCGGCTCCTCTTGGATATTTCCCCCTCTACAAACAGCCTCCTCGCTGCATAGCAAACACTCACAGTAACATCGAACTTACTGCCGCCGAACCGCGCGCGGATCCCTTGCTGTGCGAGCTTGGTGGTATTATTTTTTTTAAAAAGTTGTTTTAAACCACCAGAGTATAACAGCAAGATGTCCAGCAGTGTCCCAGCTGACATGGTAAGTACCATGCGCCTTATTTGTTGTCGTTACTACGGACATTGGTTGACAGTCTGTTGGGCGTGTGTTTGGGAGGTGAAGACGGAAAAAGAGAGGGGTTCCGCAAAGAGGGTTTGCAGAAAATGACACTCCTGTCACGTAACGAGAGGGACAAAAAGTTCTAGCCTCCCCCACCCCCCATACGTCCAGATGCTGCTTTGATTTTTCGTAAGGGAATCGGGGAGCTGCAGTGTCGTCTTGTATGTAGTAAGGCAACTCGGAGAGGTAATCGTCCTTACCTACACCAGTGAAGCTGTATTGTTTAACTCTGTGAAGCATTTTGGATTATAATGTGTGAGGGAGATGCTATACAAAATAAAACTGTACCGGAAACCATTTGTGTGCAAACCATAGCATGTTGGAAAGCGTTTATCCCCCAGAACCAGCTGAAATTCGGCCCCATCCTCTCTTCTC